GGGATTGAGCTTTTGAATTCTTTACTGACCTGCATCACCTCTAGACTTTTTTCCCAAGTCAGGTCTTTTTAGGTCACTCAGGCAGGACTTTTTTTTTGGGCAGAACCAGGGATTGAACTCAGGCCCTTACACTTGCCAGGCAAGCACTTATTCTACTGAGCCATCTCCCTGGCCTCAGGACTTTAATTTTGTGATCCTCCTGTTTCAGTCTCCCCGTGCTGGGACTGAAGGCTTACGCCCCTGTCTATGCCCTGCTTTGGTTTAATCCTTTACCATACTTTTAATTTTTTTTCCATCATCCTTAGCAGTTTATAAAATACTCCTAACACATTCATACCGTTGTTGACTAGGAAGCAAGAATGACATCTACTTGGCCATGGTTTTATCGGTGGTGACTGGTACATGTGCTTGCAAGGAGACAGCTCTTGGTATTTCCTGGCTGAGTAACTAAAGGCAGATGGATCTTTGTGAATGCTTTATTAGGGCAAATCAACGTATGTGCATGAGATGATTCTTAGGTCATCTTAGGCAGTTCTGCTTTAGTTCTTTAACATATGTTCTCCAAACTGACACACTGATCCCCAGTCCACTGTAGCTTCAGTCATCCAATAAAAAATAAATTTGAAAACATCATCTGGCAAGAGGGCAGGGTAACGCAAAGTGAGATTTTAACACATTATCAAAATTTAAAAAAAATTTATTTACATTTCCCCTTCACCCAGTTTCCCAGGTTATGCCGACATCACAGCAGTGGAAGGGTTAACATCACAGCAGACCTGGCAAAGACGTTTACAGGTTAACTTGGTCGGTGGACAGGTATGGATCCACAGAGTAAGCCAGGACCTCAGCTCTCCGCAAGCTCTGTTCTCCTCTTTCCCCCTTCTCTGTCAGCTGCCTTTATCCAGAAAGGCATCAAGGCTGTGGGTGCGCAGGCTGGATTGATAGACAACTTCCTGTGTCTGTGAAGCCCCAGCAAGGAAGCGTTTCATAATTCCAGCTACTGGCTGCGCAATCCTGAGGCAACAGTGTTAAGGGTGACCGTGGGTCATCACTCCACCCTAGTCAGTGGTATTCTCCCACGTTCTCGGAAGGCCTGGACTAACGGGGGTGCACCTGTGGCATGTGCCGCAGCAAGCTCTCAAAGGCTCCCCACCGCCAGCCTAGGCCACGCGACGGAGCTCTGCACAGGAAACCTGGGAACTGCGTTGAAAAGAGCAGACTGAGAGTTAGCTGAGTCTCCTCGTGCGTGGAAAGATTCACTTCTCCATACCAATGGCAACAAAACAGACACAAAGCACACCAACCTCTCATTCCGCCTCCCAGAACGGCTCTCGAAGAACAGAGCTTTGGGTTTTGCTTCATGGAGAACACAGTAACTGCAATGTAAGAACCACTGTATTCTTTAGGGTCAGTTTATTACAGTGCATCATACCAGAATAGTAACAGCTTAAAGCCATCTGCTGTGTGCACTACACAGTAAACACATCCGTGTCCACAGCTCCCTCCCCCCCGCTCCCCAGCCACTGGCCAGGGTGGACTATGGGTGTGCAACCTACAGACGCACAGAGGCCTAATTCCACCAGGGACTTCTGCTAGCCCCTTTGTGTCTTTCCCAGACTATGTCTATAGCAAACAGGTGCTTGGGGAAAATCACTGGAAATTACAAACAGAGAAAACAGCATTTGTACACACGTACAGCGCAGGGACACTGGCCAGTCCTGGTTCCTGCTGTGTGGTAAAGGAGGATGCCAGGCCTCTGCCGCGGCTATCTGGCTCTGGACACACAGCAACTGGCTCAGAGCCTGAGCACGCAGTTCAAGTGGCTAAAGCAGAGATAAGGAAGGAACGGGCTTTTCTCCAAGTGGAAGGTGTTCTGATGGACTGCCTTCATGGATTAAGATACCTTCTGGGCACTGGGCTTCCCTGTTAGCAGGAAACTGTACATCTACAGGTTCTAGGGCTTGGAAAAAATTTTATAGATTCTTGGCTAAGCAGCTAGAAACAATCTTTGCTCTTTTGTACTTCTTGCCTCCAGCCCCTTGGGGCTGCTTTTACCTATGCAAAATGCTCAGCAATTCTGATCTTCACGAGTGTAGGCAGTCAGAAAACACAAACTACTGTATTCCTCATTTGCTAACCAAGTGAAAGCAAATACAGATTAAACCCATCATGGCTAACCTAGAAAACACCAGGAGAGGAAAGGTACCCTGGGAATTAGGTACAGTAATGTTTTTGTTTTTTTTTTAATAGTCTTTTTGAGACAGTTCACTGTGCTGCTCATGCTGGCCTTGGACTCACTTCGGCCAGCCTCAAATTTGCAGCACTCTTTCTGCCTCAACCGCTGAATGCTGGGATCACAGCTGGGCGAATGCTGGGCGCCACCACACACCTGGCATATTAATTCTTTACACCAACAACTGCATTTCATTCTCTCTTTCACAGGTGCTTTTGCCACACTGTTACAAATCCACACAAAGAAGAATTTAGTGGTGGATCCCACCATTTACCCCTTCCCTGAGAAGTCAGGAAATCTTTCCAAGTGAGTCATTCTTCCTCCTGGTTTTCACTAATAGGCAGGAAGCAAGTGTATTACTGACTAGAAAATCTAGCTAGCCTGTATCAGTTATGAGACATTTAGATACAGGCTCCTTTAATCAGGTAGGAAAGAGATAGTGTTCTCTCTTCTCCTGAAAGGTAAGGCTGAATGGACAGAGCCCAGACCCCTGAACTACAGCATCACTATGTATCCGTTCTCTGTGGGGCTGGACTTCTAAAAATCAGTAACTGGAAGGAAACAACAACAACAACAAAAAAGCCAATTAGATAGACGGATTACAGAGATAAAACACTGGGAAAAGTTCCAAGGGGCAAGACCAGTGCCCTTAGCATGATGCAGTCTTCACTTTTTTTTTTTTTGGCAGAACCGGGGATTGAACTCAGGCCCTGGCGCTTGCCAGGGAAGCACTTACTCTACTGAGCCATCTCCCCGGCTCCCCTTAGTATGATGTAGGATGTTCCTGCTCACCAGTGACCACATACAGGAAGAAGCAACCTGTTCTCTCCCCCACACAAATTTAGAACAGCGTGTAAAGGCCTGAGGTGGCAGGCCTCCTCAGACAGGCGGCACAGAGGGTTCTGGAGGCTGGAATCCTTTTAATGAAGGGGATTTTAAAACAAAAATCTAAAGTAAAGAGAGAAGTTTTAAAAAGTGCCCCCAAATCCATGTACTGCCAGGTGAAATCTTTTCAAATAAAGATGGGAAGAGAAATGCACCAGCCACGTGGTCCACTCTGTACGGGTTCCGATGCCTCCTAGCTGCGCACTGACTGCCGTGATCTGCCAGAAGTCTAAGAGCTGGAAACGAGCAAGTAATGCGCAACTGAAAAAGCGGTGCGAGTCAAGGCACATCTCAGATGATTCACTCCGATGATCAATTTCGGCACTAATGACTTAGCTGATACATGCTCAATTCCATCAGATTCTTGAAGTGGGTCATGGTAAACTGTACTAAACAGTATTTTTGTATCTCAGATTTCTACTCATTCTCAGTGATAACTTCATATACCTTTCCCAGAACTTAGTTAATGATGCTTGGGTTAGGACTGGGTTCAGATTCACATTACAGTTTCATAATGAAATTGGCCATATATAATATATACCTAACATTTTCTCTACTAGAGTTCAAAGGTCCTGGATGGTCATAGGAGTTTTGTCCCTTCAAAAGAAACTTGTAACATAACTCACTGATCCTGAAATAACTTTGCACTAATGAAAGTATACACACACACACACACACTAACTGACATTTAATTTGGAGTGACTTCATGCAAGTTAGAGGAGCAGGTAAGTTCACTGCTTAAAATCTGTGACTTTTGCAAGCCTATGTCTACACCATTAAAGAGGAACAGCAGTGCAAAAGCTACCTGGTATTCCAGTGGCATCTATAGTGAGGGGCTGGACATAAGGGTCAGTTAACAATGGATTTTATTTTACAGGACTAGTTATTACAACCTATTCACTGTAACATGTACATGCTAAATATGATCCCTGTATTTCTCCTTGGTTCTTTTACTCACCCTTTCTGTTCTTAAAAAAGTTATATAAAACCTTGGAACATCTCAAGGACTTAAAGCTCTCAGATGCTGAGAGTGACCAAAGATAACTTTGATAAGCAGGACATGGAAACAAAATTTCACAAACAATATTGCTCACATCCTCCGCAATGTGTACTTGCACAAATATCCCACAGCAGATGACAAGATGCCTGGGAGAATGTAGATTGGGAATCTACATTTACCACTAAAAGGTGCATTATTAAACAACTACTTTTATATACTCTTTTTCATTCTCTTCCCAATCTTTCTCCTATAATACTTGGTGGCCACTAAAAGACAAGTGGATCCTGGGTACATTGAAGCCAAAAGTTCTCTTCACTTAAGCTTTGGTCAAAAGAAATAACTTCAGAGCAGTGATTTTCCGTGTATTCTTTGGTCAAGCAGTATAAAGCTCTCTGAAAAAGTCTCCTTACCTGGTTATAGCATATGAAAACAAAAGGCCAAACAGAAGATATCCTAGTCTAGGAAAGAGGAAAGTGATCAGAATTTCTCAGGGAAGGGGGGCCAGGAAGACAGCTTGGGGGCCAGGGAGATGGCTCAGTGGAATAAGCACTTCCTTGGCAAGCGCAAAGGTCTGAGTTCAATCCCCGGTTCCAACAACAACAACAACAACAACAACAACAACAACAACGAATTTCTCAGGGAAAAAAAACACATAATGGAAGCACAGGGAGACTTTTGTCCCACAAGCCAGGTCAAAATTCCATTAGGACATCTGAACGGAAGAATTTAGCACTCAAACAGGGTCAGTGCATCAGCTTCCAAAAGGACTAAGTTAACTTTAATCCTGAAACAGGAACAGGATGAATCGTTTCTGAGCAGGGGCTGACAACACTTTCCTTTATCAGTGTGAATCCTATTTGGATCCAAATCCAGCTACAAGCTATGAAAACTTTGGAAAAACAGAAAAGAAACCCGACCACAGACATTCTGCATATTGTCAGTTCTTTCCACACTGCCCCTGCCCCGCACCGCAAGAGGAATGCCCATCGCTTATAGAGCAGCTTTACACACAAACAGTAAGAGCAAGTTGTTTCCACCACTGACACCAGACTGTGGTGGGATGTCAGTGTTTCTACAACATGGTTTCAACTAGGAAGTCAGAGCTTCTAGGATTACAGCCTGGGAAGACCCTACAATTTGGGTATGCCCTCAGCTTGTGACCAGAGCAAGACATATCTGATAGTAAAGGAAGAAATCATCTTGTGACAAGAACAAAAAATGGAGGAAGACCAAAGCCTGAGACCCCTGGCCAGGAGGAGTCACAGATGGCCTGCTTAGCACTGTACTGCTTACTGTTTTTTCTTAAAATGCCAAACTTAAGACTAAAGGGGAATAGTTAATTACATGACTCATTAAGCACGGGCTGCACGATGCAACCTCTGAGAACGGGAGCGGGTGAGTGGAAGGCACTTGCTCCTGGGAAGCAGGGCCGGAGTCTCGGGCCAGAGGTTCACAGGGCAGCAGGGCCTCCTGACGGAGCCACGCCCTCCAGTGGCCGAGAGGGCAACACCTACATGGTTAGCCAGGTGAGGGAGGGCCAGCGGGCTTCACAAGTAGAATAGGTATAAAATAAAATGTTTTAATGGACAAGGTGAGTCACTTCTTTTTTAAAAGGTAAGATTTAGCACATGAAGGACGTGAAGCAGTTTTTGACTATTTACAAAATGTCACTTAAGAGTACAGGTGGCCGCATTCAGTAGTTGAGCAAATGCCTTCGACGTGAGATGGCCACAGAGGTGTGGTTCTGGAACTGGCTCAGAAAGGCCGCACACTGTCCTGGGGGCAGTTCCTCTTGGGGAGCACCAAAATCCTCAGTCTTCTGTTTCTTCGTAAGTAGTCTCATCGAATGGCCTGTCTAGTAGGGGCAACAGCCGATGACGGGAGTACTTCAGGTGCAGGAGGTCCCCAACTTCATCTATCTCCTTTAAAGCCTAAGACAGATAAGACAAAGGCGGGCTCAGTCAGGGCCAGCAGAACGCAGGCACACCCAAGGCTTTACTGGCCTGAAAACAATTCTGACAAGGCTACCCGGTTTGGGACGAGTTGAGGGCATTTACTCAGATCAGGCCATGAACAGGGCTACCAGCTGCCTTGTCAATAGCCAGGTGTGCAGCACAAGGGGTTACAATTCACCAAAATATGTTATGCTTGAAGCAAAGGAATAGGATGCTCATGTGCGACTCCTCAAGTCTTGGTGACATCACATAAACTTGTTAGTCTTAGAGTAACTGTTCTATACGAGAACACATACTGTATACTTCAGAGTTGATTATGAGTGTACAGTTTGACTTTTTTTTTGTGGTGCTGGGGATCACACTCAAGACCTTGCACTTGCCAGGTAGGTGCTTATGCCGCTGAGCTATATCCCTGGCCCAATTTTACTTGTTCTTTAATTTTTTTTTTGTGGAACCGGGGATTGAACTCAGGCCCTTGTGCTTGCCAGGAAAGTGCTTATTCTACTGAGTCATCTCCTCGGCCCCTTGTTCTTTAATTTTTTAAAAAATCACTGTTTAGGAATACAGAGAGCAAAAAGAGAAAAATGAACTAGTAGCATTACTTATATTTTTTAGTAGTATTAATTATACATGTCAGCATAGGAAAAAAAAATCTGCTATTCCTAAATGTAAAAAATATAACAAATAAGAGCTGGCCTTCAATATGCTATAAGAACAGCAGTATCTTTGTGAAGAGGTTTAACTGAAAGCTCCATATGGAAACAACTGAAGTCTGAATTTTAGCTGAGGGAATCACTGTTGCTGCCCCAACCTCTGATACAGGAACTTTCTAAGCAGAAGTCCAGGTGACTTATTAAGTTCACAAAGAAAAGGATATTTATAAACTCATACTTCAGAAGAACGCCCATTTTTTTTTTTTTTTTGCGGAACCGGGGATTGAACTCAGGCCCTTGTGCTTGCCAGGCAAGTGAAGAATGCACATGTTAAAAAATTTTTATTTAAGAGAATAATAGGGTCCTGAGTTCAATCCCCAGTACTGGAAAAGGAGGAGCAGGGAGATAGCTCAGTAGAATAAGCGCTTGCTTGGCAAGTGCAGGGTCCTGAGTTCAATCCCCAGTACCACACACACACACACACACAAAGAATAATAATATATAAGACATAACAAATCATATATAATTTAAAAAAAGATAGGTATTTAACAATGATTGTTATATTGCACATTGTTGTCACCAATGCAAAAAAGATGATCAGAAACAGGGGCTATAGATCATAAAATTTCTTCAGACTCCATACAATGCATACAGACAAGGTTTTAGGTGGTTTTGAGATGGGGGAGAGTCATCTTGTTATAAAGTAGAATAGAAAGAAAAGTTGAAATCATTGAATTAAAAAAAAAAATCAGTGAGGGCCAGTGAGATAACTCAGCAGACTAAGAGACTGCTTTGGCAAGCGCAGGAACCAAGGTTTAATCCCTGCTCACACATGCTGCACCAGCCCTGTCCAAGGGGTGCACTGAGCCAGTGACGAAGACCAGGTGTGGTGGCGCACACTTGTAATCCCATTGCTGGGGAGGCTGAAAACAGGAGGATCACTATGAGCCCAAAGCTGTATAGTGAGACCTTGTACCAAATACATTAAAAAAAAAAAAAAAAATCAGTGAGCTAGGTGTGAAAGACCAGGTGTAGTGGTGCACGCCTGTAATCCCAGTACTCGGAAACTTGGGAGGCTGAGGCAGGATTGCTGTAAATTGGAGGCCAGTCTGAATCTAATAGTAAAACCCTGGCACGTGTGCACATATACAGAAGTCAATGGAAAAATTTATTGGTGAGATTTTTTTGTTTTTTTGAGTCTTGCTACGTAGGCTGGGCTGGTCTTGAACTCGCAGCGATGCTCCTGCTTCAGCCTCCCAAGTGCTGGGATTATAGGTATGTACCACCACATCCAGCTTATTAGTAAAATTTTTTAGAAAAAGATAAATCTAATTAGAATATCTAAAAGGCAAATCAAAATAAAAGCAAGGGTATTCTATTAATAAACTGAATTCAATTTATTTTTATTTTTTTGTGGCTGGATCAGCCTACCTGGGGGCATGGCTGGTACAGCATGTGGTACAGGGGATCAAACCTCAGTTCCTGCATGCTTGCGTAAACTTGCCTAAGCAGGCTCTTTAGACCACTGAGCTATCTCGCTGGCCCACTGAATTCAATCTGACAATGTCAGAATTGTGATTATGAGGATACTCGCATGGCCAGGTGTGGTGCCGCAAGTTTGGAATCCCAGAATTCCCGTATTAGTCCACAAATTAATCACAAACTTTACAAACTGTCCCAGTGACTACTTGAGACTTTGGGGGGGGGGGGACAACTAGACACAAATTGTAACACAGGTCTTGGGAGGCTGAGGGAAGAGGATTGCCAACTATTTTATTTTATTTTTTTTTGGCGGGACCAGGGATTGAACTCAGGCCCTTGCACTTGCCAGGGAAGTGCTTATTCCACTGAGCCATCTCTCCAGCCCCCTGCTAACTATTTAAGGCAGTGCTGAATTACAGAGTGAGACCTTGTCTCAAAAAAAAAAAAAGTTAAACTAATAAATAAACACACAAAACACAGTGCCTATAGTTAGTAAGTTTTCTTACTACATTAAAAGATTAAACTCTTAATTTTAGGACTTTTACAGTATAAAAGTCAAGTCTTCAGCTATTCACAAATACTAAATGTCAAATTATTATGCTGAACTTTATTTTATTTTTTTGAACTTTAAAAACATTCATAATATACTTTTACAGATTTGATCACCAATGAATTAATAGATATCTTTAGAAACTATTCAAATGTTATATCCTAAAGCTTTCTAATTTGGGGGGTGTGGGGGATAGAACCCAGGGCCTGCATGTGTTAAACCAAAAAGCTATACTCCCAACCCAGAAAGCAATATTTACTTAAACTCCTGAAATCTTAGATGTGAAATAATAGCACATCAAGCTGAGCATGGTGGTGTGAGCCTGTGACTCCTGCTCTTCAGGAGGTTGAGGCAGGAAAATCACAAGTTTGAGGCCAGCCTGGGCAACTCTGACCCTGTCTCAAAATTAAAAAGTGCATTCATGGAGGTGGAGGGGATGATGGGGACGGGGATGGGACAAGACAGTATCAAGTGACGAAAAAAAATTTAACAGATTACAAGCAATTACAGTCAATAGTTCCAAGCCCCAGTTACATGCCTGGCACTGTGATAGGGGCTAGGGATGTGGAACAAGACTTAGTCCCTAGCCTCAGGATTTAACCGATGCAGGCCTGAGGGTCTAGCTCAGTGGTACAGCACTTGCTCAGGGCAGCTGAGACTGTTTTGTTTTGGCAGAACCAGGGATGGAACTCTGGCCCTTGAGCTTGTCAGGCAAGAGCTTATTCCACTGAGCCATCTCCCCGGCCCCCTGAGGCCCTCTTTCACTCTCTGGCACTAGGAAAAGAAAAGCAATTATCTAAGGGTGAAGACTGCCATTAAGTAATTATAGGCATGAAGAAGTTATAAAGGTAGGATTCTTAAAATTCCACAGGAATACACAGTAAGAAGGTTTGGGAGCAAGCTTCCTTTATATTTTTTCTTTTCTCTCTTTTTTTTTTTGTGGTGCTAAGGATTTTTTTTTTTTTTTTCTCGAATGACTTCAGGACACTTTTGGCTAGCTGGACTGTTGTGGGGATCGAACTACAGCAACCTGAGGCTGACA